GGCCATTGATTGAGCAGAGTTCGCATGTCATTGAAAGGCACAGTAAATGTATATTATGCAACACAGCCGTGAAATTACTCTTCTCGTACATCATTTTAAGACTGAGTTAAATTTCCAACCTTTACAGGCGGCAAAGATATTTTGTTTGGTAACTATGGACCTGCCTGGAAGTACCACCGTAAACTCTTCACAACAGCTTTGCGCCAGTACCTCTCTGACATTCCCTTGATAGAAAAGCGAATCACGACACAGGCCGAGAAACTAGTAGAGTTTATAGAAAGACAAGATGGAAAGCCTTTTGATCCAGCAGATTGCTTACAGCGTAATGTTGCTGATGTTATTTGCGGCATCACCTTTGGTGAAGGCTATGACACAACCAATCCATATTTGAACAGACTCTTAAAACTTAACATACAAATGATGACGGACGCAGATAATATTCAGTTGGTGAAGATCTTAGATTTCTTTCCATTAGCAAAGCACCTACCCATTAAGGCTTATGATCGCTTTTTCCAGCCCATCTTTGAAATGTATGATATCATCCGTATGTTCTTGAGGGAGCGAGAAGAAAATTTTGATCCACAAATTCCTGTGAAAGATTTGATCTCAGGTCTTCTGTATGCCAGGGATCATGATTCTAAGAATGATGAAGAGCGAGTAGCTTTTCTTTCTGATGACTACTTGGTCACTATCATCGAAGACATGGTTGCTGGCGGCTACGAAACCACAAGCACAACAATGAAATGGGCGATAGCCTTCTTGGTCAATTATCCAAAGTACCTAGAAGATATTCAGGTTGAGTTAGATGAAGTACTTGGCGGAAGGAACCCCAGTGTGGAAGACCGAGCCAATCTGCCGCTTCTTCAGGCGACCATCATAGAAACGCTGCGAGCTGGAAACGTGGCGCCTCTTTTACTGCCTCACGTCACACTTGCTGACACGACACTCTGCGGCTACCGTGTTCCCAAAGATACCATTGTGTTTGCTGACGCGGAATCTGTTCATCTGGATCCCAAATGCTGGGAAAACCCAACGGTGTTTAACCCTTACCGTCATATCGACGAGAATGGTAAGTTGATCATCAACCAGAGCAACTATTACCCTTTTGGAGCGGGACGTCGGGCCTGCGTTGGGGAAGCCCTGGCTAAAGTTGAGCTGTTTTTGTTTCTCTCGTGGCTGTTTCAGAAGTTCACCTTCATCGCTGAAGAAGATGGTCGTCCACCAAGGTTGAAAGGAATATTTGCTGACACCCAGTATCCCGTTCCTTACAAGATACGTGCAATAAAACGGAAATGAACTAGCATTTTTATGCACCGGGGTACTGACCGGGATTTGAAAAGTAAGCCATTTGCCTTATGAGTGACTTGGTACTTTTAGAAAATAGCGTTTCTACTGGCTGTAAATAGACGGATTCGGCTAACGTGTGCACATTCTTGTTGCCACCCAATTCAGGTCGTGTGATAATTCATTTGGGAGGTTACAACCGTCTTTTTGTACATATTCCCTTGCAAGCAGTTACGTGTGACAAATTGCACAATTGTTCCCTCTCAATGTGATCTAAATTGGGTGCCAACAAGGATGAAAACACGTTGACGTAATCCGTATATTAGCTTGTCTTATGTTTCCTTTTTTTAGAGAAGTGTTAGCTCAATACCTCGTGTCGAAAAATACATCGTGGCGGTCATCGTGGTGAATACATCGTGGCGGCTTTACATTTTACCACCACAGTACCTTGCCAACCTGATAAAATATAAAAGCCATGCTTTTGTGAGTTCGTCCCTTTACTAATTAACAATTATTCGCTGAAGGTGAAGTGAACATTGGTGAATATTTACCGAGAAGAAAATAACAGACTAAAATGAGGAAACACGGACGTAACTGTTAACCGTAGTAATCGATTGTGAATCAATTTACTCATCTAGTTAGGGGTAAAAAAAAAACAATAAAAACTCTACGAAAAATAAATGTATCCATTTATTTGTTGTATCGTTGTTGACTTCATTCACAGTTGTACTCCTCTTCTAACCATGAGTAGGAAACATTACTTTCGGTCACTCGATCTGACCGCCCAGGGGGTACTCCCAGAAAAATTGGGTGGAGGTGTGCGGCCCGCTTTCCAAAACCCTTAACCTATTTTTGACAAAAATCTGTGATTTCCCCCCTACCCTATTTATGACCTGACCAAAAATTCGATACCCTATTTAAGACCGGACCCTTGAATCAAAACACTGTTTCAGGTCTGTCCGAGTTATAATTAGTTACCTAGTTTTGAGGGCCACTGGTTTTTCAGTGATTACTGTTGTGTGGTANAAGGTCGTGTGATGATTCATTTGGGAGGTTACAACCGTCTTTTTGTACATATTCCCGTGCAAGCAGTTACGTGTGACAAATTGCACAATTGTTTCCTCTCAATGTGATCTAAATTGGGTGGCAACAAGGATGAAAACACGTCGGCGTAATCCGTATATTAGCTTGTCTTATGTTTCTTTTTTTTAGAGAAGTGTTAGCTCAATACACCGTGTCGAAAAAGATGGCGGCTTTACATTTTACCACCACAGTACCTTGCCAACCTGATAAAATATAAAAGCCATTCTTTTGTGAGTTCGTCCCTTTACTAATTAACAATTATTCGCCGAAGGTGAAGTGAACATTGGTGAATATTTACCGAGACGAAAATAACAGACTAAAATAAGGAAACACAGACGCAACTGTTCGTTTGTATACTCGTATGCAGCCGTAGTAATCGATTGTGAATCAATTTACTCATCTAGTTAGGGGTAAAAAAAAAAAACAATCAAAACTCTACGAAAAATAAATTCATCCATTTATTTGTTGTATCGCTGTTGACTTCATTCACAGTTGTACTCCTCTTCTAAACATGAGTAGGAAACATTACTTTCGGTCACTCGATCTGACCCCCCCTGGGGGTACTCCCAGAAGAATTGGGTGGGGGTGTGCGGCCCGCTTTCCAAAACCCTTAACCTATTTTTGACAAAAATCTGTGATTTCCCCCCTACCCTATTTATGACCTGACCAAAAAATTCGATACCCTATTTAAGACCGGACCCTTGAATCAAAACACTGTTTCAGGCCTGTCCGAGTTATAATTAGTTACCTAGTTTTGAGGGCCACTGGTTTTTCAGTGATTACTGTTGTGTGGTAACCTCAATAAATAAAGTTGATTCAGACCAATGCTAAACTGCCGTAAACATTAAGGGCTTTTGTTGATGTTTTTTCGATGATGATGAAAAAGTAGTTTCAGACCAGAGTGCGAAAACTATACCCTATTCATGAGCAAAACGGCTGAAAAATCACACCCTTTGGGGCCGCACATACAAAGAAAGCAAATATAAGGGAGTATCCCCCCCCCCGGGATATGACCTGCTGGCGATCAACGAGACCACTGCGTTAAATGCCTTGAATGCGAGTTCTTGAAAACACTTTTGTTCTGAGGGCAACAGTAGTCATTTCACATATTCCCCAAGCTTTCAAATATCTTGAACTTGGAGAGATGTCTTTCGAGTAAACGAAAATTTAATTCCGCAACTGTACGCCATGCTTAGAAGCCAAGACGGCAAAGGTGGTGCGAGCTTAGTAACCAAGCCTAGAAATATTACATTCAACGCCTGGCGGGGTGAATATAGCGTCCAATTCTTATATTTACCTCTGGAAATTATAGCAGACATAAAATATACCGCGAATCGAATTTCTTTGAGTGGCGTCGTCAAATACCTTTGACAAATTAACTCAGTTTGGGTATATTCAAAATTGGTGCAACACCGAACCATAGAAATAATTTGCACACTTTTCTTTGTGCGATTTTTATATCGAGAGACACTACACTTCGAAGCCGAAGCACATCTGCATGTATCACAAACACTATTTGAGAACTGTGGTTTAAGTCGTTTTACTTTTTCTAGACTATTCGTAAAAAATCTAATTGCTGCCTGTGTTACCGATGCATTAGTAAACTAACATCTCTTCCTACATCATTTTACAACTCAGTCCTCTGTTACACTCTTTGTTACGTTTTATGATACAAAGTTTATAAATGGACAGACGTTTCGTGTTATTTTCATCAAGTCACTGAGTTGTATAGACATTTCATGGAACGGTGTTTTACTAGACTATTTCACCAGAGAATTACTTACGGCAAGCGATTCCTTGGTCTTAAATCGCGGAGTGACCTCTCTAGTAGGGAAGAAGGCGTGATCTATCGAGCTCGCATGTACACAACTGATAGGAGTGGGCTTGGGGCGAGAGTATTTTCAAAAGAATCCCACTCAAATTATCACATCTTTCGTGAGCCAGGAGCTTACCCTTTTTTAACATAAAAATCATTCGGAAAGGTCTCAGCGTCACTGAGGACAAAGCAGTGAAGCTACAAACTACCTAAATGACCATGAATCGGCCTAGAAACCTCACGAGAAACAAAGAAACACACACTTGAAGCGAGTAGGTTTATTTTTATTCATACTCCTTCGTACTTTTAGACTCAAGAATAACCGTTTTTCCCATACAAATCCTTANGGCGGGGTGAATATAGCGTCCAATTCTTATATTTACCTCTGGAAATTATAGTAGACAAAATATACCGCGAATCGAATTTCGTTGAGTGGCGTCGTCAAATACCTTTGACAAATTAACTCAATTTGGGTATATTTAAAATTGGTGCAACACCGAACCATGGAAATAATTTGCACACTTTTGTTTGTGCGATTTTTATATCGAGAGACACTGCACTTCGAAGCCGAAGCACATCTGCATGTATCACAAACACTATTTTAGTACTGTGGTTTAAGTCGTTTTACTTTTTTTAGACTATTCTTCAAAAAATCTAATTGCTGCCTTTGTTACCGATGCATTAGTAAACTAACATCTCTTCCTACATCATTTTACAACTCAGTCCTCTGTTACACTCTTTGTTACGTTTTACGATGCAAAGTTTATAAATGGACAGACGTTTCGTGTTATTTTCATCAAGTCACTGAGTTGTATAGACATTTCATAGAACGTTGTTTTACCAGACTATTTCACCAGAGAATTACTTACGGCAAGCGATTCCTTGGTCTTAAATCGCGGGGTAACCTCTCTAGTAGGGAGGAAGGCGTGATATATCGAGCTTTCTAAAAAATGAATACCAGATCTGCCGGCCAGCTGTGCGATTGTTAACTTTTTTTTTTTTTTCGAGCTCGTAAGTAGATGTTGTTATAGCTCATGTACACAACTGATGCGGGTGGGCTTGGGGCGAGAGTATTTTCAAAAGAATCCCACTCAACTTATCACACCTTTCGTGAGCCAGGAGCTTACCATTTGAACATAAAAATCATTCGGAAAGGTCTCAGCGTCACTGAGGACAAAGCAGTGAAGCTACAAACTACCCAAATGACCATGAATCGGCCTAGAAACCTCACCAGAAACAAAGAAACACACACTTGAAGCGAGTACGTTTATTTTTATTCATACTCCTTCGTACTTTTAGACTCAAGAATAACCGTTTTTCCCATACAAATCCTTATATTTTGACTGTTGCATAACCTGAGAACTAATGTATACACAAGGAAAGCTCATTTGCGAGCTTGGGTTACCTGTGGTACTATGCTTTGGCATCGTGTCGGGTTCTTTCTTTGAACCATCCTGTAAGAGGAGTGAACTTGTTGTATGATCTTTATCCAACCCGCTTATCAGAGCGCGGGGAATCTGAAGCTACATTCCTCCATTGAAGAAAATATCCACAATGTAATAGAGAGAGGGAGATAGCAGCTTGCGGGGGAAGTAAGGTAGCTATGTACATAAATATAGTTTGGTTTCCAAGTACGGAAAAATATTAGTAACGACTGCGCAATCATTTAGCTGTTTCTAGACAGGTTGCGCTACACAAGCGCAAAAAAGCATTCTTGCTAACAAATGAAATATCATTATTTGACTTGTGCTTCAGTTTCAAGTAGACTGGCCGTTTTCTTTTTTATTTTAGGAGATAAAGATCTCATATTAGGTAGTCCTGGTTCTGCCTGGAAGTTACACCGAAAACTCTTCACTACAGCCCTGCGCCAGTACCTCACGTTTATTATTCAACTGCAGCGAATACTGTCCAACTAACAGTACAAATATACAGCGATATTGTACAGTTATTTGTACAGTAGAAAATCTGTTTGCGTATAGCTCGGCGCGCGCACGCGAAACTGTCACATTCCCTCTTTCATTGATAAATTTATTGACTGCTGCAGTTAGATAATAAATCTCTTATTAGATGGTTTAGTGTGTAGTATCGCTTTACATTTTTACTTGTTTGTACTTTGACCTGCCCTACGGGCTCGTCAAAATACGGCACAACTCGTAAAAATATACAGCGATACTACACACCAATACATCTAATAAGATATATATATTCCTCTCACTAAGAGTCGAATCGCAATATCGTCAGGTCGATATTTATTTTTCATTTTCCCCTGACAAGTAGTCATTAGTCTTGTATCACAAAGCGAAATAATAGACCTTTTCCGCATTCCACCTCAGTGCGTACGAACAATAGCACCAGAGCAAGGTTGGGGTGGACATTTTCATACATTTATTGTATTTTTGTCCACCCTGACCTCGACTTGGCGCTGTTTGTCGGAATGCGGGAAAGGTCTATTAAGACGAAATCCGATAGAAAATCGACTTACTTCAGGTTTTAGTGGACAAAAATTGGTACCAGAATAATTTTAAGTATTTTACAGTCATTTTTACATTTTCTTACAGGTAAATACATAAATAATTGCCTGAAATAACACCAAAAACAATTTCCCGTGGGAACGAGAGAAAATGAATTTCAAAGTCCAGAGAACTTGTGCAAACACAGGCAAAATTTCGTCATCAGTTTAATTTCACCAGTTCTTTCAAGTGTTTCATACGAAGTTCAACTTTCGTTTTCTACGT